TTTTTTTGCTTTGCCCCAAAATGCAACACAAGCCTTCCAAGGATGGAAGATGCTTGTTTTATTGCTTACTGATGCAGAGACTCTGGGTTCGGACCATTAGGTACACTCAACTGATTATTCCATGTAAACACCACATTTACTGGCTTAGTCACTGTGAAAGTGAAATTTTAACGATGCATAGTGCTTAAAGCCACGTTAAAATTAAATGTTTACGGCCACATGAAGCTGTTACGAAGTATATAGATTGAGGATTTTCTAGAAGCAAGGATAAAATAACATTTTGTGTACCCACCCTAACAAAATTATGTAATGTGGTACTTTATTCACTAAAATAAGTTTAATCTTACCATATCCAAAAACTCGCTCACTCTGCTGTTAATAAATGCACTAGAATAGTATTGAATCATAGTACGTGGAGACACGTTTTTAATAAAAATATTCATATTAATCAATGATTTATTGACTTTTAATACACCTTATTTCGAAATGTACAGAAATACGTGCTTTCATATGTCTTTTAGTTATGATTTTTTCATTTATTTACTATACCATTTATTATTAATGTCTATTTTCAGTTTTAGTTTGGCTCTAGTTTTGTATTTATTCCAGTTTATATGAAAAGATTAATGTAGCGTGGATTAAAATAAATATACAGACTAAATCCTTTTCACTAAACGTGTTCAAAATTAGTTTGAAAAGTTGTCGGGAGCATGGTGGTTGTGATGTTGAAGGCGAGCGACCGTGGAGGTGTAGTTCGTTTATAGCTTTCAAGTTCCGAATCCAAATTCTGCTTTACTTCCTGTCTCCGGAGGTACCTTCTTCTGATCGAATTTTGAAGGCAGCATATATGTATCCTCCGTTGCCTTTGATATCCCACAATCCTGTGCATTCCATTCTGTGACGGTTGAGCTAAAAAATAAAGATGGCATCTGAAAGTTGCGTTTGGTGGTCAGTTTGTGTGTAAATGTATATTTCTGACTAACTTTTTGCACTTTTGATGCTATTTCTGGCGAGAAATCAGCATTATAGTAATTCAATATTTTTTTTAGTTATCACAAAAACTTGTTTTATTTTGTTGTAAATCATTAAACCGTTACGCTGCCTCAGAAGCCTGTCCGAAATCAGTTTCATGAGGTGCCTTTGTGCAAAAATGCTGCTTGCAAAGTCATTGCCTCATAAGGTAGTGAGGCAGTAAGTCAGCTGCCAAAGTTTTCGGGTGCAGCCAATGTCGTTTCTTTGTGCAGTTATCCTTAGTTGTGCTGTGGAATCTGCTATTCTTTTATATTTAGAATTATTTTTTTTTAAACTATAGCTTTATCTTTATCATTATACTGTAGTTATTGTACTGGGTGAGAACGTTCCTTTTGCAAGGAAAAGAGAAAGGTATTGAGGATTGCAATTGTCAGAATAATAGCTTGCCAATATTTCTGGGCAGAGAATCCCCCCTCACTATAGTATCACAAGTTCAAGAGAGGTCACTGAGAGGATTCTGCACTCAAAATACTTATCCTGATAATGTCATTTATGTTGGCAAACAGACAGTTTTAAGAAATATGGCTGCAAGCAGCAATGTTTGGGGCAGAGCAAGTCAGAAACAAAGTGAAAAGCTAAGCAAGCATGGCAAAGGAGCCGACAGTCGAGACAAAGCAGGTTACTTTTGGCATGAAACAATGTCTCAGCTTTCAAATTGTGTCATTTTTTAAGAAATTCAAACAATAAATACCGTATTGTGTTGTGACAGATTGCTGTAGCACCTTAGTTCAAGCGTGAATTAACATCAGAAAGTATGTTGTCCCAACTGCACAAAGACGTCAATACCCCATTTTCAAGTTCAGCTCTATTGACATTAATCGACTAACTCTCCTGTCTGGTTTGTTTGTCAGTCAAAATGGCGGATTCGGCTTTATGATTGGTCAGATAGCCTGTCAATCAAACTCCTGGAGAAGACTTGATTCAGAAAACAAGATTTTAAAATAGGAATCCATGAACTACATGATTAAACAAGTCATGATTAATCGTGCATGGACAAGTTCAAGTTTTATTATGGAATTACACCAGCATATTTGGGTGAAAAGCATTATCATCATCAAGAACAATTTATTTAGAGTATGCGGAAGATAATGTTACATTTCCTGTAGTAAAGAAATAGTTGTTATACTACAGTAGTCAACAATACCTGTTCTTGTCTTAGAACAACTTTGATGAAATTTTTGATCCACTTAAATGTTGACTGCTGTATATTTAATTAGCACATCCATAATTGAGAAGGCTATTCTTGAGCTCAGTGATGCCGATGTATCGCTCCCTGTGTTCTGGAGTTGGGCTTTCCTCTCTTGTAGGCCAGTATTCAACCCAGGTCTGCTCTCCAAAAACATACTGCAGACTAAAACAACAGAAAACACACTGTGCAAACCTATGAATAGATTTTTCATACATATATGCATTAAAAACAAACTTCACACTAACAGACATTGAGCTGATGTTTTACCCAAGATTGATTTGGTTTTCGTCAGTCTGAGAAATGACTCACACAGCAATTATTTGTGAATATCACGCTATATGAGGACAGTGATGCCAGATTGGGCAGAGGATTTCCATCCTTCCAAAAAAGCTCTCCAAAATTGGGCCCAAAATTAATTGCCAAAAGAATGTGATATAATTTTATTGCCATGCCAACCAAGGTTAATAAGGACCATTTTCACCTCACCTAAATATTGATAAAAAAAAGAAGAAAAAAAAGATTAAATATCCTAGCCTGGAGAACAATGCAAGAAGGAAATGGATCAAGCATGGCAAATATAGTAAAAGAGAATTAGTAGATTAGCAATTAGCAAATATGATGAAAAAAATCAAAACAGGCATAAACTAAAGTATGTAAAATATTTGGAAACTGCAGTCAAGAAACTGTCAGACTTCAACCCTTTGGAAAAACGCATGCATCATTTTCAATGTCAACAGCAAAAACAAGCCAATTCAAGTTGCAGACAAAAAGCCCAGTTTAAGTGATCAACTTTTTTGACTGATACTGACACATTCATCTTGCACACACCATGACAGCCGATAATGAGTCATTCATTACACACTGTACACTAGTCACAAAAATATATATATATAAATATATATATATGGGCCTTAATAATGTGCTTACCTTAACGTCAAACAGAACTACAGTATGCATTGTGGAACATAAAGCAGAACTTGCAGTCAAAACTGTTTGATAATTTTTTTTATCCAAACCTCTTTCAGAAGCTGTCGAGGAAAAAGTTGCAGATTTCATGGACGGAAATATCACGTGCAAAAAAAAAAAGCAAATAAAAAAACCTGCCATTTATTTAAAAAAAGCAGCCCAAATGTTGTCCACCCGCCCAATGCATTTTTCTCCAATTTAGCCTGATTAAAAGAAGCCCAGTTGGGTGGGAACCGGGAACCCACCCAATCTGGCAGCACTATATGAGAAAAATGAGTGTGTTCAGACAGAGCTCTGGATAAGTTCACACACTACATTTACTGGGTTGGGGGTCCTTTTATGCAAAAGCACAATCCTGTAGGAAGTACTAACACCTACCTTCCCCCGAGCTCTCTCAGGTAAACGGATCTGCCCATGATGAGGTACGACTTGCCTTTTACCAATCCTAAATATTCTCTGCAACCGGGACGAGTCAGGAATGGTCTCACTTTCCCCTCAACTTCCCCATCAGTGCCTATAGGACAGAACAGGAGAAAATTTTATCAAAATGTGCCAAATGTAAACCACATTTCAAGAGTTATAAAAACATGTAATTAATTGTACTTAGATGAACACAAGTGAATAATGAACCGTACCTTCTCTCAGTACCTGCTCCACCTTCATGCTATAGATGTCAGAGTCCTGTTTCAGATCCATTCCCACCACTGTGACTTTATAAGCTGTCAAAGAGTTGTGTTATATTGGTGTTATATCAGAGCTGCGAGACTGGATCTCAATGGCTGAGGAAGGAGAACGTGTGTTTACCATAATCCATGCCAGCTTCACAGGCTCTTTTCAAACGCTCCTCATCACTGACCCGATTCTTCCTCTGGTAACTGCAGTTCTCTGTGTTATGAGATGTTGATTTTCTGATATTTATATACACATTCATAACAGACCAACAAAACATTTTCCTCCACTCATAAAAAGTTAATCAATTAAAAATGAAAATATAAATCTTTACACATCTCTAGATGTGCATACATTTGATGAGAAATTAAGTCAAATACCATTTAAACTATTTTATTGATGATTGGTTGGCTCTTATGATGAATTCCTCGTGATGTTCCTCGCTTCTAAATGACTTTATATAAAGATGTCTGGTGAATAAAAAAAAAAGGTGTAATTGTAATACCTTCTGCACACTGGCACAGGTCTCCTTTACACAGTCTGTATATCGCACCATCTTTCCTTTCAGGGTGGTAGAACTTTGTACAGCGTGCATCTAAAAAACACACATGCATTTAATCTAAAGCTTGGAAGTGCCAGGACGTTTTATATTATAACTCCGATTGGATTCGTCTGAAAGAAGAAAGGCATATACATCTAGGTAGGCTTGAGGGTGAGTAAATCATGGGGTATTTTCATTGTTTATGTGAACTATCCCTTTAAACCAGACCATTTCACCAACCAACATTTTGCACTTTAAAAACAATGTGCTCCTGTGCTGTTGACATCTGCTATAGCAGAGCAACTTGTATTGATTTATTCCTTGCCCTCTCCTTACATCAGTGTATTATTTTCATTTGTAAATCACTTTGGCTAAATTATATATTTTAAGTGTACATGTAAGAAGATGGGCGGGTGTGTGTGCAGCTCACCTGGTGAGTAATATTCATATATCGTGACTGCAGCAGGTTGAAGCAGACCCACATTAAGCATCTGGTGCATTCTGAAGGAAATTACTTCTTTCTCTTTGTGAGAAACCTAATAATACAGAAACCAATGTAAAATTATGATTGCATGTCATTTGACACTTCCAATATTTGCACAATCCACAAATAATTATAATAAATCTAATAAAAATAGCTATATGTAGCAGAGTGAGCTATAGACCCAGTATGATTGGCTGGAATTACCCAAACAGGTGAACCTATCAGTGTTCATACTTTATCATGATTGGTCGGTTGGGTACGTTTCATGAGCCAATTAGTGCCTATGTTGTGCATATAAAAGGGGGAACTGTTTGAATGCTTGGGATGCATTGTCCTTGGTACTGCCCCTTTGTGGCCTGTGGTGTTTTGAATGAGTGCTAGCAGTTGGGTTATTCTCCTGTCTGTCGTGTGCTGGTTGTTGGCCACTTTTTAGGGTTGTCCCAGTTTTAATAATGCCTTTTTGCCTGTTAAATAGAGAGGCTTATTACCTTGTTTGTTTTTAGATATGGGCCTGCAAGTAGCTGCAATCCTGTGTGGTGAGTGACCATGTGTATTGAAGCATTGTGCTGTTTTCTTGGTAGGTATGGGTAGTTTAAAGTTTGTTTTTAACAAGTTTTTGTGTAACTTTTGTTCAATGTCCAGCAGGATTGATTGCACGTCCAGGGGTTTCTAATGATCTTAATTGAAGCCTAACAAACCTCAAGTAACTGACTGCACTTCTGCTGTGCTCTGCTCTACTCTGTTTTGTTCTGTCTGGAATTCATCTGGGTCTGTCTGTTATAGTTTAGTTTGTTTTGTATTGTTTGGTGCGTGGATTTAGGTGGAAGGGGTTGGCCATGGTACCTTTTAATATTACTGATTTTTCACAAGCGTGTGTCATGGGTATTGAGTGTGGGGTAGAAATCTGAGGGTCTTTGCTGGCCACCTCCCTCTTAATTTTCTCTTATTGTATTGTACTTTGTTTTATAAGTTACTGGTAAAGACGTGTGATAAATTAAAGTTAATAAAGTGACTTGTTTATAATTATTATTATTCTCACCCTGCCTTTGGCAATGAACCTGTGTCCCTTTGCTTGGGGCTGTTATGCCCGGGTGGTGTAGTCGACTATAGGATTTCTCTAATTATTGATTAATTAAGCACCTGACCACTTCTTGCCACATAGTTGCATTTACATTGAAAAGACAGTTTTGTGTGCTGTATATCTGACAGAAAACAAAAGTTAATTTGTTATAGCCACAGGCTATATATTACATATATACTTTATATTGTGCTTATAATATTATGTGAAATATGACTGTTGTCCACAATGTACGTAAAGGTGAACGTGCAGTGACATGGAACTGTATGGATGTGCAGTTACTGGATATTAATTAAGCACTTTGTCAGCCAATCAGAATGAAGAACTCAATATTTCTTAGAAATGTAAAACAATAGCACGTATCCTGGTCAAAAGAAAACGCTATAGAATCTGTTTACAAAATCATCAGACAACACAGTTTGCTGATACCTTATTTAAGTAGAGGATGAGGGATCCTCGCTCTGAAAGAACTTTATTCTTTTCATATTTCTGAATGTATCTCTCCTTCCCTGAAGACAACTGAGGACAAGAAAACAAAAATCTCAATACATGACATGATCAAAATGCTTTATGTCCTGACTGCAGATGTGTGTTAGATTCCTCTTCTATATACAGAAACATAACTACATCAGTTTATCACCACAATACCTCTTTAAGATCACTTTCTTCAACTTCAAATCCAGTCGGTAAACCAACGTCTAGAATAGTCATGGTGGCATCAGTTTTATCATCTTTGTAGCTGTGAAGATGGAGAGCAAGAGCAGATTTTAATAACTGGTTTTGTAGTTTTGCTCCATCTTCTGTGTGTTTAAAGCGGTTTTCACACTAGAGCTTTTGGTGTGAACCCAAGTCAGTTTGACTTCAGAATTATTATACTGTAGTGACGCAGAGCTGCTCGTCTCTTGTCTTTGTAAAGCGAGTTACATCTGTGTCAGAACACACTGGAAATGAAGTATCTTTTGGAGTCATTGGGCCTCATTTATCAATCTAACGTAGAAACGAGCGCAGATCTGTGCGCACAAATCAACTTACGACAGAGTTCACGTGTGATTTATGAAACATTCGTATGCCGCCAATCTCATCGTACGAATGATCGTATATTGATAAATGTGGCGCCAGAAAACAATCGTCATTTGAATATCACACCCCTAAAAATACCCTGGTTTAGAAGCCTCGCCCCAAGAGTTTACGACACGCAGAAACGAAACACGGCCAAAAAGAGGAAGTAATGTCGTGAACGAGAAATTGATCATACTCCAAAAACACCCGTTAACCTTGTAGGCCTAATTGCGAACAATTAGGCTACATTAATATATGTAATTTATATATATATATATATATTAAAATACGGGTAAATATAAACAGCTTATTTAGTTCCCCTCACTCTACAACAAATATTTTAAATCTAACGGTATTCAGAACAGAACAAGAATGAAAAATAAGTAGTTATAAAATTATATTTTAAACTGTAAAATAAAACAAATTAGGCTATAGTG